AGCTATTTCTTGTGCTGCATATTTAATCAACAGATCACCAACAAAGAGTTTGAAGGATTGCACACCTCATGAAGCATGGTATGGAGTGAAGCTGAGAGTGCAACATTTAAAGATTTTTGGTTGTGTTGCCTATTCCCATGTTCCAAATGAGTTGAGAAACAAGCTCAACCATAAGGCAAAAAAGTGCATTTTCATTGGATATAGTGAAAGGAGCAAGGCCTACAACCTATACAATCCGAAGACCAAAAAGTTCTTGATCAGCTGTGATGTCCATTCTGATGAAAATGCTTTCTTTGAAGAAGAAAATGCTACAGCAAAATTGCCTATTATGCAAAAAAAAAATGATACTTATCAATCAGAAATTGCTCCTCAATCCCCAAGAGCTACATCAAGTGATGACGACTTGCCTCCAAGAAAGTTCAGAAGTATACGAGATCTTTACGACTCCTCAGAGCAAGTAGATTTTGTGGATAATACTATATTCTTTGCTTTCTTTGCTGGAGAGGATCCAATTTCATTTAATGAAGCATGTGAAGAGGAAAAATGGAAACAAGCCATGGATGAAGAAATAAAGGCTACGGAGAAGAATATGACTTGGGAGCTCACAAATCTGCCAGTACACAAGAATCCTATTAGTGTTAAATGGGTATATAAGACAAAGAAAAATGCAAATGGGTCCATTAACAAGTACAAGGCGAGACACGTTGCAAAAGGTTAAAACCAAAAGGAAGGAAAAGACTATATTGAAGTTTTTGCTCCTGTTTCCAAACTTGACACTATTTGACTGATCATCTTTCTTGCTGCACAAAACAATTGGGAAATTTTTCAAATGGATGTAAAGTCTGCGTTCTTGAATGGTGTCCTTCAAGAAGAAGTTTATTTGGAGCAACCATCTGGATATGTGAAGAAAGGAGAGGAAAATAAAGTTTACAAGCTTAAGAAGGCATTATAAGGGCTCAAGCAATCACCACGTGCATGGTACAGCCGTATTAATTCATACTTCGAAAAACATGATTTTCAAAAGTGCCCATATGAACATACCCTCTATATCAAAAGCACCTCAGAAGGAAGTTTCAAGGTTGTAAGTGTTTATGTTGATGATCTTATCTTTACCTGAAATGATTTAGAGTTATTGAATGTCTTTAAGCTCTCTATGATGAGAGAATTTGAGATGACAGATTTGGGCAAGCTACATCACTTTCTTGGTATTGAAATTTCTCAATCTAAGAAAGGCATTTTCATTTCTCAAGAGAGTTATGCAAAAGAAGTTTTGAAGAAATTTGGGATGGAGAATGCAAACCCAGTAGTGACACCATGCATTACAGGCCTAAAGCTAAGCAAAGATGGCGAAGGGAGACTTGTCGATTCCACCAGGTTTAGCAGTTTGGTGGGTAATTTGATGTACTTAATGGCCGCAAGACCAGACATTATGTATGCAGTAAGTTTGGTGAGTAGGTTTATGGAAAAGCCACATTCAAATCATTAGGAAGTTGCAAAAAGAATTCTGCGATACATCAAACGAATCGTCGATTACGGCATCTTTTATGAAGCAAATGTTCCAGTGAAACTTATTGGCTATATTGACAGTGATTTAGCTTGTGAAATCCCATCCCCGGAATTTCACCATGTATTATGTACCCTGTATTTTAAATTCGTATTTCGTGATTTCGTGATCTATATTAGTTAATTTTAATTCCATTAATTTTAAGTTTAGAAATTGATTAGATATCAAGTTGGAAGTTTCATAATCAATCTTTATCTCTCGTTGACATTTGGAAGTTACAACTAGTTTCTTTTTATAGATCTCAAACCCACGAATACATAGGCAAAAACCGTTTGCGAGTCCGAATTATAACGATATAGTTACGGACGTTTGAATTGTGAACTTTAGACTGTGGGAATTATTAAATCCCCGCATGTGGGTAAAGGTTAAGTTAGTTTTTTTATAAGGGGACCAATCAGTTTTTTTTAAAAGGTTATAAAGGACCATTGAGGGAGGAGAGAAACTAACATTTCCCCCCCACTAGTTAGTGACCCGTGTGCTCCACCAACCTATTTTCAAACCCGCTAATTTCAAGCCAATTCCTCCAGTTCTCAGCTGACTTTCTTATCTACTTCACCTGTAACTTGCTCGACTATCTTCTTCCTTCCATCTCCACCAAAAATCAAGTTTGTTTGAGGCTTAATTCGGGTAGAACTCCACCGGAGAACCCAGGGGTTCTCGACGGCGATTCGTCATTCCGATGAGTATCATCATTCACCATCACCCTTATTCAACTTCCCTTGGACCCAAGAACAAGACCCAACTAGTGGTTGAGGCGTTGGAACACCAAAAAAGCCGAATTGATGAACACCCACCTTAGGGTTTCGTTGGGTGCGAGCCAATTTGAGGGCCTTCCCGGCCAAATTGGACTCGGCCACAGGTATAAAGTTTACTCTACTTGTTGAGATATTCACTCTTGTAAAATTTGAGATTTTTTTTTGGGAAAAAAGTCGAATTTTTTTCGTTGTGTGACATTGGAGTTATGGAAATGTTGTTGGTTGAATATATTATCGATAAGGTTCGCCACTTGATTATTCTAACAATTGACGATCTTACCATTGAATTGACACCAAATTTTAGTGTGCTATGGTAGATATTGTTTAAGGACCTTATGGACTTACTAGTGAAAATCTAGTGATTGGATCTTATGGAGTAAGTGATGTAAGATCAGGGACCCTACCTTAGAACAACGGTTTGATCCCTTATTAAATGTTGTTGTGGGAGACATATGAGAGTTTTTGATTATGTGAATTATCAAAGGAAATCTAAATGTGGACTTGTGCTTTGTTCAGGAGGTGATAGAACGTGATGCCTTGACTCTTGTGCTAAGGTGCATTAGCGCAGGCTCCAGGTGAGTGACTTTAATATATGTGATATTGGTGATTACCTTGCTTTCGTAATTATTACTCTGCAAGGGTAAGACTTGGTGTTATAAATATGTTTTCTATTGAATTGTTATGTTAATACCTAGTTTTTGATTTAAGATTATGAAATGAGATTTGACTATTACATATTGAAATATGATGTAATTTGTTTGATTGGCATGATGTGATGAAATGTGAGGGCTAGTGCTGGGTCGTTAAACCATTGGGGATTTGTTGCTTCGATATTGTTTCATTTCCGTTTCGTTGATCCGTTCTAAAAGTTAGTATTTATGCCTTACTTCTCTTGGTTGAGCTTTTGTAAATTAAGTAACTTGTGCTGGTCATAGTTCTTTGAGCCGTTGTACCTTATGGGTGTTGGTTTTCCGCGATTCCGTTGAGTGATGGTTCAGAATCGTAACCTTTCAGATTCCGTTGAGAGATGGTCCGGGGAGAGATGGTCCGGAATCCCTTTTACTTCGCGATCCCGTTGAGTGATGGTCCGGAATCGTAACCATTCGGATTCCGTGGAGAGATGGTCCAAAATACCTCTTACTCCGCGATCCTGTTAAGTGATGGTCCGGGATCGTATCCACCTTAGTTCATTGAGTTTGGTTTGAGATAGTTGCAAAGGTGTAGGCTTTGGCTGAACTGTGTCGCCCTAATCCTACTTTCATTGTGTGTATGTGAATATGGTTGTGAGATGTTGTGGTTGTTTCAAATGAACTTTTGGATGTCCGGGTATTATTGTCTCACATACTTGGTATTATTGTCACTCACACGAGCTTCGCAACTTATCTGAGTTGATGGTTGCCGATGTACCATTTCGATGGTGTAGGCACTGATCATACAGGTGACAGGGTTGAATAGACTTCGAGACATTCGTAGGTGGGGGTAGCAATGCGGTATCAGAGACTTGGAGCATTAGATTACCCTTGATTCACTCTTGTACTTTTTATTTTGGGACTTTCTTTTGAGCACCTTGAACTTGTTTTTAGTCTGGTGAAGGTTGTACTTCTTTTTGGAATGTACATATTTGTAAATATCAAGTGGAGAACTTAGTCAGCTTCATATTATTTTGGTTTATCATTTAAAGTATTTCATTTAGTTGCTTATACCGTATTCAACGAACGTTATTTTTCTTGTCACGTGTCGATTCTCAACGTATGTTGGGATCGGGGCGTGACATAGCTAGAAGTATTGATGATTGCAAAAGCACTTCATGTTATGTTTTTAGTCTGGGAAGTGACGTGATTTCATGGAGTTCAAGGAATCAATCAATTGTTGCCCTCTCTACAACGGAAGCAGAGTACATAGCTGCCTCTCTTGCAGGATGTCACACAGTTTGGCTACTGGGCTTTTTGGAGAGTCTGATGCATAAACAAAAAGGTCCAACCACTTTGTTTTGTGATAATAGCTCAACAATTTCAATCTCAAAATATCATGTTCTACATGGGAGAACAAAGCACAACAGCATCCGCTTTCATTTCCTAAGGGAGCTTGTTAGTGAGGGAGTTATATAGTTAAAGTATTGCGAAACAGATGAACAGATGGCAGACGTGTTCACAAAGTTGCTTGGTGGACAAGTGTTCAAGCGAGATGTTGCAAGACTAGGAATCAAAAGCAAATTTGGTTTAAGGGAGGCAACGTTGGAAGGTTAAACCAAATTTAAGTTACAATGAAAGAGTTATAAATCAAGGTTAAGAAAGATAGAAGTTCTAGAGTTGTGATGTTTGGAATTTCTAGAGTTAATCATGATTTCTCTAGATGTTTCAATTATTAAGAAGCTTATAATTAGCTAAATAAATGATGATGTATTGTAGTGGCTATAAAAGCCATGTAGTGTTATGAGTTTTAAGTGTGAAAGAAATCAGAATAGTCTTTCCAAGTTAAAGAACCTTTCCCCTCTCCTAAAAATATTGGCTGATGCCATTTTTCATAGATAACTATTAAAGCGTTTCTCTATCGCACTTCCTCCTACATACAGTAAGAAGACAATTTTTCATTGTAGATCCCATTGGCCCCGCAAAGATCTCTTGGCCCTGACCAAAACAAATTCCATTGCCTGGAAATATTTAACCATATTAGGCTCTTAATCTTCCCTGAGGGATGCATTACAAACCGGGATATCATTTCAGGATTCTTAGAAGAAAAGGTGAAATAACTTTCATTTGTAACGGAGTTCAACTTGTAGATAGATTTAGGCATCATTTCAGGAGCGGATCTGAACATATGTCCATCCCATGATCCACTGGTCCAATACTGTATCGACCTATCTAGCCACATGGGTAATGAATTGATTCCATTGGGTCTTTCTCAAGAAAGTAAACACCCGGTGCAGGATCCCCCAAACTCTTCCATCAATTGAGAACTTGAATTTGTTTGGTAATTTTGTTGAATCCGATTTTACTTCCTGGTAGCCATGTATGAGCTGGATGATCAAAACTTCGCCATAAAAGCTGCTCACATGTATTACTAGACCCACGAGCTCTTAAGACAAGGTTTCCGCTATCCATAAGAAGTGCTTGTACACAAGCAGCGGTGGTAGTGGAGGTCAAACTTGTGGACCAAACCGGGGTTTTGGACTCGTTTAAGAGGACTAAATTGCCATCCAAGATCTTTAAAACCGAATAAAATCTATCGGAAACTGGTTTTTCTCTGTTTGCCACCCAGACTATGGTTCTCTCGGATACCACTTGTTTGGTGTACCACATGCCTATGTAGAAGTTCGAAGAATTACCTGGTGTGAAGAAACCGAGCTCAAAAATCCCACCTGGTGAGACAATGGTTTGAGCACCGGAGAGAGATTGGTTTACTGTGATGGTGTCAGCTCCAAGGGAAACATTGAGACATAGGAGGCCAAAGAAAACAGCAGAAAGCACTGGCTTTGGCTTGGTTTTGCTATCCATGGCTGCACAAAACAAATGCGCAGAGAAGCAAACCAATGTATGTTAGTGAAACCAAAACCTCAATAAACCATAACAATTCTAAATTTTCTGACTTTTCAATTATTCCAGCTCTTTTAAGTCAAGTCATTCATCTGATTTGATTATTATTTTCATCGAAATTTTTTATCGTTAGAATTTTTGGTTAAGAATCCCAAAATCAAGATTGGACGGTCGAAAGTCTCGGTATATATGATACGCCATAGAATTTTCAAGGGGAGTCCACACCCGACTTTCTCTGCCAAGTGAAAGCGTCCAAAACACATATAATGTAAATAGTGAAAGAGCACGCCATGATTGAATCTCCTCCATTTTAAGGCATCACAAATATTCATGCTCCCGCATTGAGGGCAAGTCAACAAATTTGTCATGTAAATAAATAATATATTGAAAGTTTTAATACCATATATTTGTGCAATAAAAAGAATAAGATAAAATAAATCTTGTTTATTCTCTCCTCAAAATGAAATTAAAGCAAAAGTAAAAAATAAATATATTTGTTTTCAACAACCATACAACTAAGTATGCTTACGTATTATGACATTCAACCTGCCTATCTCTTTGATGAAAATGATCGTGCTCCACTCATGAAACATTTAACCCTAAAACAACCAGATACGTTAAAATAGGTCCACAACTAATTGTGACATACCTAGTACAAGCCTAAATGAACAAAGGCATTAGTTTGGCCAAGAAACATCAAAGTGTCCAGCCCACAAATTCACACCACAACCCATGTAGGGTCCAAAGTCCAAACCCATAAGAGCAACTCCAGCGTGTGAAACCTTCCCCCAGGCAATACTCTATGCTATCCACCTGGTGAACAGTAACTGCCCTAATAAACAGTAATTGCCTTTTGCATCTCCACCGTTGCACTTCAATAGCCCTAGCAATAGGCAATAAAATATTAGTATTTTATTTATTTATAAAATAATACAAAATAATTTTAATTGTAATTTCAAATAAGATTTTTAATCGTTCTCATTGCGCCACGTGTCATTATCCGAAGTATTATTAAATAATACAAAATAATTTTATTTGTAATTTCAGATAAGATTTTTAATCGTGGTGTAAGGTAGATGATAATGAGAAGGTATTTATAGGAAAGTAAAAACAATTTTTTTTTGGATTTTTTACAATTTTTTTTTAATTTTTATTCAATTAATTAATCTTTGCCGTTGGATATAAAAAAATTTGAATTCCAACACTCCAGATTGTGCCACGTGTCACAATGGTAACTTTTCTTAATTTTAAAACTATTTTTTCTTTTATTTATTTATTTATAAAGCCTATTTAATATCGACCTTTGATCTCAGATCAAACGGTTGATATTAAATAAGCTTTTATTTTTATTTTTATTACCGTTGAGATCGAACGGTCCAAGTTAAAGAGCTGTTCAGATCGAACGCACCGTGGGAAGCCACGTGGCTTCCCAACGGTAACTGAGGCTGACTGCTCCGCGGGCCCCTGTGGTCTGAAACTTGTTTGTTGACTCGCCCCCAAGCGCGGGTGAGGCGCATGAGCCTGACAGAAAAAAATTAAAAAAGGGACTGACGCCAGCCTGACGTCAGCCCTGCGTCAGGTCCACCTCGGGCTCACGGGCTGGCGATTCCTCACGGGCCTGTTGCTCGGGCCTGCCCAGTCCCTCGGGCTCCCAACGCTGGAGGCTTGCAACCGGGCTATCCAGCCCTATTTGGTCAATTGTCCCCCGAGCAGTCCACAACGGTGGACTTGCTCTAAGAACACACCAGAGCCCATATTTACATGTAAAAAAAATCGAACTTTCACATTAATTTTTTTTTTTTAAATGGCTATTTCGTAACTAAAACAAATTCCCCCTCAATTGCACTGTAGCCAAGCTACATTGCCACCGCTCCCCAAGTTTAGGATAGAGTAATGCAAGTTGTTTAAGCAAAGCGATTCCCATTTCAAAAAAAAAAAAATATGGGGATCGCACCTTCAGCTATTGGACCTTAATGAGATCGTGTGGCTGTCCAATGCTTTAGAGAGGTGTATTCAATTGGAATTTTAAGATATTTTAATAGATTTGTAAATCCATAGATTTTTATGGAGTTTAATTCATTTGTAGAGATTTCATGTAAAATTTTGGCTCAATTCTCTTGAAATCTCATGGGAGATGTGAGATTTCTGAGTGTTTAAAATACACTACGAAATATTTCCAATTCCTTTCAACTTTTTAAAATTCTTTAAAACATTCAAATAACACCCACATTTCAAATAGGCTGTCACGTAGACAAATATGTAACGAATTATTACAGCATATTTACAACTTATGTCACAAAACTCTAATTATGTCAAAAAATATAATTACCCACCCTCATTATGATTACCAATTAAACCAATAGGGAAATTTTTTGAAATGTCATATGAACTTGTACAACTTTTTGAATTTGTCATATAAACTAAAATTTTAAGGAATTTGTCATACCAACTTTCCGAAATCATCAATTTGTCATCTCACCCTAACTCCGTTAAATTTTGCATCCAAAATAAGTCATGTGCGAGGCATAGACTTATGTTTAGGGTTATTTCTGTCTTTTTAAGATCTTTATACAAGTTCTTTACTTTTCTTTAGTAAAACCCTTAAATTTTGTGTTTGAAGGTATTCAAGCGGGTCGTTGTGTTCGAGCAGCGTATGTGTATCTACAACTCCATTTCTAGCACCAAACCTCTCATAGAAAACGGGACTACAAATAAACAGAGAAAACGAGACTACAAGTAGAAAAATAAAAATCTCTCATTGTCACAGACAAAGCTATAATAAATAATTTTATCTAACCTTACCATAGATTGGAGGGTTCCCCGTGACTTTATATTCTTAAGCCACTTCAATTTGAAACACACACAAGCTCTGTTGTTCCCTTTTTTGAACTAGAACTCTCAGACCATGTATCATATATATCACTCCCTTTTTGTGGCTTTAGAAATCCTAGAATTGTTTTGATCGAATACAACTTAATAGAAGAAATTGGGGTGTTAAAATGGCAGAAATAACTCTGAACTGTCACATCCCGCCCCGAGCCCCCACCACATCCCGGGCTCGACTCCACCGTAGCACGATATTGTCCGCTTTAGGCCCCGACCACGCCCTCACGGTTTTGTTTCTGGGAACTCACACGAGAACTTCCCAGTGGGTCACCCATCATGGGAATGCTCTCACCCAAACTCGCTTAACTTTGGAGTTCCGATGAACTCCGAAGTCAGTGAGCTCCCAAAAGGCCTCGTGCTAGGTAGAGATGGGAATATACATATAAGGCTTATAGGATTCCCCTGGACGATGTGAGATGTCACATGAACACAAGTCATGTGTGACTTATTTTGGATGGAAAAATTAATATAGTTAGGGTGAAATGACAAATTAATGATTTCAGAAAGTTGGTATGACAAATTGCTTAAAATTTTAGTTTATATGGCAAATTGAAAAATGTGTACAAGTTCATATGACATTTTAAAAATTTTCCCAAACCAATATGAAAATTTACCTTTCTTGTATCATAAATATTTTTTTTTAGTTGTATCATAAATATTAGGGTTAATTACAAAAAACTACCTCAAGTTTGGGTCAAATGACACTTTCATACCTCATCTTTTAAAATTGACAATGTCATACCTCATCTTACGAATTTGTGTCAATGTTATACCTTCCGTTAGCTTGGCCGTTTATTTCTCAGTTAAATGCTGACGTGGCTTGATGCGGGACCCATTTTTATTAAAAAATTATTAAAAAAATTATTAAAAACAAAAAAAATCATTTAATATTATTTAAATATTAAAATAATAAATACCCTTTTTTTTTTCTTCTCTCTTCTTCTTCTTCTTCTTCTTCTTCTTCTGCAGGGGCCGAACTGGGCTTCTTTTTTTTTTTTTTTTTTTTTTTTTTTTTTGTTTTCTTCTCTCTTCTTCTTCTTCCCTCTTCTTCCCTCTTCTTCTTCTTCTTCTGGGGGCCGAACTGGGCTTCTTTTTTTTTTTTTTTTTTTTTTTTTTTGTTCTTCTCTCTTGTTCTTCTCTCTTGTTCTTCTTCCCTCTTCTTCCCTCTTCTTCTTCTTCTTCTTCTTCTTCTTCTGCAGGGGGCCGAACTGGGCTTTTTTTTTTTTTTTTTTTTTTTTTTTTTCTGGGTTTTTTTCTATAGGTCCATGGTTATTTCGTGCATCTTCCCCTCTCTCTTCCCCATCATCTTCCTGCAACCCAGCAACCCAGAAAAGAAGAAGGAGAAAGAAGAAGAAGAAGAGAAAAAAAAAAAAAAAAAAAAAAAACCCCAGTTCGTCCTCTGCAGAAGGGGAAGAAGAAGAAGAAGAAAAAAAAAAAAAAAAAAAAAAAAACAAACAGCAGCAACCCAGTTCGCCCCCCTCACACCCACCCTCTCCTCTCCACACCCATTCCCCCACCCCCACTCTCCCCCCCCCCCCCGCGCGGACCCCCGTTGCCCATTTTCTCCTCGCCCAGGAGAATGGGTTTTTTTTTTCTGGGTTTTTTTTTTTTTTTTTTTTTTTTTTAGGGGTTGTAGATGGTGGGTGCGAGGTTGGGGTGCGAAGGTGGGGAGGTTGGGTGCGTGGATGTGGGGAGAAGAGGGGGTGAGGAGCAAGGAAAACAAATTAGTTTTTTTTTTTTTTTTTTTTTCTCTTCTGTTTTTCTGGGTTGTAGTTGCAGAAAGGGGAAGAAGATGAAGATGGGGAGAAGGGAGAGAGGGGGGGAAGGGAGAACTGACGTTGGTTTTTTTTTTTTTTTTTTTTTTTTTTAAATAATTTTTCTTTATTATTTTAATATTTAAATAATATTAAATGATTTTTTTTATTAATTTTTTAATAAAAATGGGTCCCAGATCAAGCCACGTCAGCATTTAACTGAGAATAAACGGCCAAACTAACGGAAGGTATAACATTGACACAAATTCGTAAGATGAGGTATGACATTGTCAATTTTAAAAGATGAGGTATGAAAGTGTCATTTGACCCATACTTGAGGTAGTTTTTTGTAATTAACCCT